TATATAAAATTTAAATTCCAAATCCAAACAAAAATTTGGGCATTTTCTTTGTCTGATTTCACATTTTGGAAATGTATGTTATTTTCTCACCCTACAGAGTTTTATTTGATTATTTTTATGCTAAAAATGATAATTCCTCGAGGCTGAGTGCACCTTATAATATTTGTTCTTTGCTCTCTTCACAGATATTACATTGTGCCGTGGGTAAGTGCAACCTGCTGCTAATAACAGTCTCTTATTAATTTCTACTATAAATATGCACTAGGTGAAGTATATAGATCAGATTGGCTATACAAGGGAAGCTTTTTTTAACCCAGCAGTGCCTTCGTCAGCGAGGGTGCTGGTTTCTCTGCCAGCCTGACAGTGATAATGTGATAAAGAGTCTCACTGCACCCGTGGAGCGTAGAGTTCACAGTCCACACCTCATTATCTGGGACTTGAAGCTTAATGTGACCTTTCCCAGTGCAAACAACCAGTCCTGCAGCACTCTCTGTTACATCATAACCATCCTTACTCTCTTAAATTATTTTATTCTAATGATCCAAATTCTGTATTATGTCTCTCTCATAATGTTTAGTGTAATGGATTAAGATTATTTTTATGCTTGCTTTATCGCAACTCATAGTTTATTCTGATTAAACCCACGTTGCAAAAATACAAAGGATTAATCTCTTTACTCAACATTTTAAATGTTTTGAAGGAATTGTTCCTTCCTCGGTGGTCCTGACTGGGTTCCAGGTGATGTCACGGGTGTTCCTTACATGGGCAGTGACGCACAGCGTTAGAGAAGTAAGTTTATGTTTAAAGAGATAGTTCACTCAAAAATGAAAATTCTGTCATCATTTACTCACCCTCAAGTTGTCTTTCTTTTTTTTCTTTTTTTACACAAAAGAAGATATTTTGAAGAAACCAAACGGTTGCTAGTAGCCATCAGCTTCCATAGTATGGAAAAATGTAGTTGTTACCAGCAACTGTTTGGTGCAACATGAGGGTGAGTAAATGATTTTTGAGAGAATTAAATTTTTTTCCATTTTTGGGAGAATTTTTTTTTTTTTACTTGCATATGTTACAGTGTTATTTTAGAATTATTTATAGACTATTATAGTATTAATTCATATTTAAAATTTGCTGTATTATTTATTAGTTTAATTTTAAAAGGTTTAATGATTTATTTTGTGTTTAGTCATTTTTACATTTAGTTATTATTTCACAATTTCTATATTATTTTTAAGTTTTATTAATTTTAATACTTTAACTTTTATTTTATTTCACTTAGTTTTCATGTAATTAAAAAAAAAAAGATCTAATATTTATTTTTTTTATTTTATTTCAGCTTTATTTCAATTAGCAAAAACAATTTGTAATAGTTTTATTTTGGTTTTAGTTAAGAGCAACACAAGATGTTTTACTTGTTCAGGTGACCTACAGTATTATTGGTATATTATTGAATATTTTTAATAGTGATGATGTCAGGGATTCTCATGGTTAAAAACCTGGATATGAAAATCCAGTATCATTATGCCATCAATCTCTCAAATTTCTCTTTATCATTAATGTTCCCTATAACACTATGAGCAATATTTCTATGTTCGTCTCATTGACTCTTGTCTACTGCCATCTAGTGGATTTCAAGTTGGTTTAATATTTCAGTGTTCATCAAAAGCCAAAATCCTGCATTAGTAGAATTTTAGTGTGACGAAAACAGTGTTATTTATTTTAAGTTCTTTGAAACTAAGAATCAGGTTCTGATTGTCTACCCCAGAGAAAGACGTCTGAGCTGAAGTGTATAGTTCTGTAAGTTATTCCTGCGAGAAACCTGCCTGAACCAAAACTGGGAAGTAATACTAACATGTAACATGTCCATGTGTGCCTGTGTATGTTTCTGTTGCTAAAATAACCTCCTTTCAAGCCTGTATGCGTGTAGAGGCGAAATTGGAGCCTTTGACGGGCCTGAATGCTTTTTGAAGTGCTTCCGTTTACGATCATCTCAGTAGTCCATCTTTGTGTGTCGAGTGGCTTCAGTGAATTGTGCATAACTGCATGGTTCTCGACTAAATTTGGCTGCTTGCTAAGCAGTTCTGTCTCTTCCCTGTGTGACTTACAGTTTCTCTCATTTTAGGTCCAAAGTGAAGACAGTGTTCTCCTCTTTGTGGTGGCCTGGACGGTCACGGAGATCATCCGTTACTCTTTCTACACCTTCAGCCTGCTCAACCACCTGCCTTACCTCATCAAATGGGCAAGGTGAAGCTTCTCAGTTAATTTTTTTTTGGTAGAAAAGTATATTTTATATACTTTGCTCTTCAAATTTTCACAGGTACACATTTTTTGTTGTGCTGTACCCCATGGGAGTGGCAGGGGAACTTTTGACGATTTATGCCGCGCTGCCATACGTGCAGAAAACAGGGCTCTACTCCATCACCTTGCCTAACAACTACAACTTCTCCTTTGACTACCACACCTTCCTCATCCTCGTCATGATCTCCTACATCCCCTGTACGTTTTAATTCCTGGACAAAGAGATTATGCATCATGTTTTCTCAAAATGCTTTGTTTTGAGATATTCCATCTGTAAATAATCCGATTCCTCAGTTGATCTTGTATAGCTTCAAAATCTCTTGAAGCTCATTCTTGTCTTGTCAATGAACAGCTCTGTTCCTGTTAATGACCTTCTTTGTCCGTGTGTTCCTCAGTATTCCCGCAGCTCTACTTCCACATGATACGCCAGAGGAAGAAAGTTCTGGGTCACGTGGAGGAGTACAGCAAAGTGGAATAACTCGCCCTGCCGTTGCCGCACACAGCAGACTGATCGCAGCGAAAACGGAAACAAGCGGATAACCTTTAAAAGCCACACTACAGATTTTTTAATTTAAAAAAAGAAGACAAGGCGTTCTTGTCAGTTAGACAGGCCAGATATGCAGAATGATTGTTAATGATACTATTTTGGTCAAGAACTGTTGCAGTTGGTGATTTTAGGGATCCTGTAACAACACAAATGGCTTTTCCTCAGTTTAGAGGGAGAGGAATGTCTTTAGCATACTAATGCATCAGCTACTGTGTGACAACATTTTTATTTTTCATTCTAAATGTAGAATTACAGACCAAATATTGTAGCAAATATCATTCAGATAAAGGGCAAAAATACAGTTAGCTGCATCTGGTGGCTTTAACCAGAAAAAAAGTCTCATAATTTTCCTGTGGTGTGTTTTGTACATTGTATTTCAGACATTTGAATCTAATTGACTTAAATCTCTGTTTCTCACTCAGCTCATTTCTTTTCTTTATATTTGAGTATAATTCATAACTCAAACCGTTCTTGACTTTCACACTACTAGCGTGTCTACTGATTCCCATCATGATTACTGTTAGTATTTTCTTTTTGTTTTGTGTTGTGTTTCTTAAAGGATCAATGTTAATCGGTTGTTTTGTTCAGTATTGGGTATATATTGTTGGTTTGTGGCCGTTTGCGGAAAAAAAGAGGTGTATCACCCAAAGAAATTGGCTGAGTTGCTGGGTCGGACCTCGTAGTCAATACTACTAATGTACTAGATGTGCATTTCTGTCGTAGAAAGAGATTGCAGCTGACACTTTTGGAGCTTTTATGGCTGGCGATGTGGAAGTGTTTGGCTAAGAGAGACTCGCACGCCGAGCAGAAGAGAGCACAAGCCTCGGCTAATGGGGGCCAATTGGATTTGAGTGCCTCCAGTCATGCTTTGCCTGTGAGTCAAATCTAATAATGTGGAGGGAAAGCTGGGAGTCAAGACTAACTTAACGCTTCATTGCCCGTCTGCCTAATTGTGAACAGTCAACTTCAGTCCTCCCAATGCAAATGAATCTCTCTCGTATTGAAGTGTGAGCCACACTATTGCACAGATAGAGTCTTTGCAAACAAAGTGGTAAGCCTGTTTCCCTTATCAAGCCTATTCAGGAAAAGATTAGCATGGGATGAATGGAGTGCAACTTTGAATAACACTGCATGTAAAAGTGGTGTGGCTAAACCTTGGTTAATAGAAGCATGACCCTTAACTCAAATAAAAATGCCAACATTGTCAAGCTTTTGATATTCAAGTTCTGCATGGGACCAGCAAACTTTGTATGAATAGTAATACGATTATATATATTTACAATAAACCATAACATGGGAAGCAAAGCCCGTTTGTTTTTATTCTATAAACTTAATTGCTTTATCTTTCTCATATTTTAGTATTTAACCTGCAGCGTAATTAAAAGTATTGTGTCTTTCTTACATATATTTCACTTTATTTCAATATACAATTAAACACATTAGGTTTTATAGACTTGTACAGTATTTTAGTAAAGGGGACTATTCATCCTTCCTTCACATGATGGCAGTAGAGATCTATGTCTATATTTTAACTGAACACGTTCTGTGAGCTCAATTGTCAGAAATTAAGCTTTTTATTAAGGGGCAATGTTTGCTTCCTGGGGTTTGATTTTAGCCATTTAAAAACAATGCATCTCCCTTTTATGCTAAATCCACATATATATTATTTCACTAAATATACATGCTTATTTCACTAAAGTAACCGTTCCCTTTGAATAATTAACGACTTAGAATAAGAATTAAGAAATGCATCTAGTGTTTAAAAGACTAGGAGCCAATTTTTGCTTTTGCTTTTTGAATTTCACCCTAATCCTACACTATTTTTTGACCCTGATGTGCTTTAATTGTTATTTAGAAAAGTTTGTAAAGCCGAATGGGCACAATTAGCAATAAAACAGCTTGTCCAATACATATGCACAGTTTGAAATCATAGGGCCCTTTTACACCTGGTCACTTCATGCGTTTTCTCTGATTGGATAGCTATCTGATTTGTTAAATTAAGCAAATTTTTACAATCCTTGCTTTATGTCTGATTTAAAAAATAAATAAACTGTTATTCGATTATATTTGAGTTTTCTTAAAGCCTGAAAAGCATTCCTTTGTTTAGAAATAAAGTGGGACAAAATAGTTTAAAAGCAGTTTTCCGTAGAGTTTGTTTTTGCATCTCATCTGTTTAAAGGATGGGAGTCATGAGACCTATGAAAAAAAACTAAACCGAGGAAGCATGACTCTGTTGCAAACAACAAGATCTTTTGTCTTCTCGAACTGACACAGAAAAGTTTAATGCTCTTCACACAGCTATTGCCAATTGACGGAATCCTGCATTTTGAAATGGAAAAAGTGTCAACACGCTGGGACGATAAACAACTGACACAATTTATCCCATGTTAGGGGAGAACGATGTATTGTCTGTTGAATCACTGATGAATAAGTGAACGATTTCATTTTTAAAAAGTAAAAAAGAAAAGTATAACCATGAGAAAACCAACATTCCCATGCACATTATTCATATTTAGGCTACATAAAACATCCAGGAAAAGGCTTAACATTCAGAATATTTGAATGTAGTTAACAGGTTTAATACAAAATATACTTTTATACTTGAAATGTGATCTGACATAAAAAATATTTACCTCTATAATTTATCTCCCATGTTTATTTATTTATATAAAACCCCTACATTATTAGCATAACAAACACAAATTTTCCCCACTCTCCCTTACGTACAGCTGTGCGGGTAGTCCCGCCCACTTATCCAAATCACTGTGTACTGACACACAAGTTGACCAATAAAAAAAAATATTGGCAACTTGTGCAACCAGCTATCCAATGGGATCGCACGTAAGGCGGGGCCTAAAGATCAAACTTGGTTGAATGGCAATACAAAGACAAGAAGCACCAAAACGGAGGATAACGCTTAATCAATTCTGCGTGCTTCGGGTCTTGAGAATCTGCAGGGAAAGGACGTGCAGCTCGTCCGGCACTGTCATTACGCAGCTCAGCTCGAGCAGAGCGGATTCGACGTTCCTCTGGCGTGACAATTCATCTTCTCATCTAGACGCCAGCGCTGATGATGCTGTTGCTAGTGCACCAAGAGCATTGGAGATACCTATCTGCACAGCACGGATGAAGACTCCTTCACTAAAAGACACTTGTGAGGTCATCTTGGGAAGACGCAACTTCTCATTCAGGCGCGTTGGAAAGCTCAGGTTTTCACAGCAATCGTGATCATGTAATCTAGTGGGCTGCGACCACATATTCACAGGTGTACAGCTTGCGTGGATCAATGCATCAGTGCGTAACATTACGCACCATGGGGTCGTGCTCTGCACTTCTAGCTCAAACCAAACCACACTTTTGCGGACACTGCTTGTTCTGTCATGAAAACGTAGAGATCAAGCGTGATGGACGTAGAGTCAGTTCTCATTGATTTAGACTAAATAAAGCGATTTAAGCAGTGTGCGAATTATACAGTGACTTTAAGGGGGGAAAACTTGACTATTTTTAAACGAATTTTGCATTTTTTGAGAAAGAAATCTGGTAAATTATTAAGGGTAAATTTAATTTGAGGAGAACAATCTTTCGAGGTTGGTCTCGCGTAAACGCAAATTGCTATTTGGCGCCATTAACAAATATCAGTACTTTTAGAGACTTTTTAAAACTACACACTTAGGTTGTTGTGACAAATTTGTGATCTGTAACTCTATAATAAAGTGATGCTTTAGTTTTTGTAATGCTTAAGTAATCAATTGCAATGGAAAGCTCGCGAGCAGCGTACTGTTGTTATGGTTACCTCATCTGGCGAACGCGACTAATGTTTGTTAGCTTCCGTTTGGCGACAGGTGAGAATACGCGCTCTGACTAACTTATCTAACTTTTATTCGTGCTGAAACGTTCGAAACCTATATACAGGCCTACTTGCTTTTATTATACTGTTGTGTGGTTTTAGTACTTTCACAACATTTTGATTTGATTTCCTCTGGAATCCCCTTAATGCGTGATTTGCACCCAGAGGTGGTTTGTATATTAGCATCTATGAATTGAAATGGGGCTTACAATTACTCCCTCTGCTGTTTACCTCCTCTAATGCTCTAGCCACCTGAGTATGTCTCTCAAACGACTACTTTGTATATTTAATTAATTATTTAAAGTCCTCTGTGTTTATAATGATGTAAAAAACGAACGGATTGACTTGCAAAATGTATTTCTCTCTCTCAGAATGGCTGACTACAACAGCTGTACTCACTTTACATTGGTCCTATTTTATAAAAGCAGTATACAAAATGCTGCTTTATAAATAAAAAATGGACCAATTTTACTAGTTTTCAATTGGGTGCACATGTCTCTCACACATAATTTTGGTTTACTTTTTTTGTTTTAAATCACCATCTAACTGCAACGTTGTGTCTTAAATTGGCAAAACGACTTTAATATAGACGATGTTCCCCAAAGTAATGACTGAAACATCCCCTCTTTAGTGGAAAAACTATATATTTGGGATCATATAAATGATTGATAAGTTTAATATTTATATAGTGTGAGAATAATTCAATTTCAGTTAAATCAATATTGAAAAAAAAAAATCTCAGTAACGTTAATCTGTTTTGGTTCGTTTCCCGTAACCCATTTCTCTTTCACAACAACAAAACGCTAACGTCTTTATTATATATTTGTGGCATGTACCTATAGTAACTTGATAAATAATAACAGTAGTTATGCATCGTTCGATAGAACGGCTGTTAAGCAGCTGTTGCTGTGGTTTCCTCAAGCAAAGGTATACTTTAGCGCACTCTGACTAACTTGCGTGACTACTGAAATGTTTGTTATTTGAAAGTATTGCAACACGTAGGCTATATTATGTTTGTATGTAAAAACAAAACTTGTAAGACCTACGACCTTTTTCTCTGACCTCCTTCGGAGAGTTAATTAGGACGTCTAACTCCCTATAATTCGCACCCTGAAGTCATATATTGCATGTAGTAATCGAGATCATGTCCAGATCTAACAGCGTGAGCCCACCCGGCGCTGGCGCTCCTGGACTGAGGGGAGGGACGGAGCACAGATCCGCTTGGGGCGAGTCTGAGTCCGTGGCGAACGGATGTCCATACTCGGCCAGATCCTCCTGCAAAACGCTCATACGGTCCAACAGTCGGTGGAGAGAGGACGATGACTTCGAGCGACAACCGGGCCGAGCCACGACCACCGTCAGCCGGGTTAGTTTCAGATCCAAGTCTGCCTGGCAAGAACACGGGGAGGAGAGTCGCAACAATAACAGACCTTCCCCGAGGTACCGTGATGGAGAAGTGAGACCAAAGTACGTGGAGTTGGGTTTGGAGGACAGAAGAACCAAGTCCAAACCAGAGGAGGAGCCCATGCCAGAAGTGAACTTTTCCATGAGCGCGTGCTGCAACGGCCTGATGCAGATTTTCAAATCTAAGAAGTTCCAGTCGGAGAAGTTAGAGAGGCTTTACCAGCGCTACTTCTTCCGACTTAACCAGAGCAGCTTGACGATGCTCATGGCTGTTCTGGTGCTGGTGTGCGCGGTGATGCTGGGGTTCCACTGCGCTGGAGGAGTGTATCGGCTCACTTACGTGGTGGTTTTCTCCACGGCAATCTTACTCATTCTTACGCTGATGGTCGTGTGCAACAGGAACGGCTTCCATCAGGATCACATGTGGATAGTTTGCTATGTGCTCATTTTGGCGGTGCTGGCTGTACAGGTGATCGGCGTGCTGCTCGTGGAGCCGCGCAGCGCGTCTGAAGGCATCTGGTGGACTGTGTTTTTCATCCATGTCATTTACACACTTCTGCCGGTGCGGATGAGAGCAGCGGTCATCACTGGAATTATACTGTCTACCATACATGTGCTGGTCTCGTGGAAGTTAAACGAAATGGACGTCTTTTTGTGGAAACAGGTGAGTACAGTGCGTATATGCTTTCATCGCTTTATTGCTTGAAATCTTATCTATCTATCTATCTATCTATCTATCTATCTATCTATCACTCACTCACTCACTCAAGACTGTCAACATGGTCATTTGACCATAGGTAGCCTACGTGGCTGCAATTAGTCTATTTGGTTATGTGCACAATTCCATGAGATACTGCAGCAGTTAATAATGAGAAAGTGTGTTTAGTTCATATACATTTTTCCTCTGCCAGATAAAATTCCAAAAGAAGCCAAAGCATCAAATTTAGCTATAATCAACGCTGGGATTGACAGCTAGTCTGGATCGGAGCGACAGACATTTATACCATCACCTATTCCAGTGGTTCCCAATCCTGTTCCTGGAGAACCCCCAACACTGCACATTTTAGATGTCTCCCTATTCAAACACACCTGATTCAACTCATCAGCTAATTAGTGAAGACTCCAAGACCTCAAATGTGTGTGTCAGATAAGAGAGACACCAAAACGTGCAGTGTTGGGGGTTCTCCAGGACCAGGATTGGGAACCACTGACCTATTCAAAGTGTTCCGTAATCACTCCGCTCCAACTCCTCTCCTTGTTTTGTATTTTCCTTTCCCGTGTTTAGCTAGTGCATAGTGGAAATTCTCAAATGTGTTAGTTGCTTAAAAGCAACATTCATAGATAATATGTGCAATGGCCAAAAAGTTAACATTTTGAAAGGTATTTTAATTACAAAGTGCATTGGCAAAAGTGCTGTTGGTCACATGTCTGTCAGTGAAGTTTACTGTACTGTCTAGTTGCTGTAGTAATTTTTCAGTTCTGTAGTTTTTGCTTTAGTTCTGAGAATTTCAGTAGCCCTTTAGAAGAATTGCAAATCCCTTGTTACCTCAAACCTTTCAGCAAGAGTTTGTCTATCAGTCAGCACTATAGATCTGTTTTTGAAAAGCACTTAGATGTTCTTGCAGTTCTGAAAGCGACAAAAGTTGATGATGATTCACCCTTTTGTTTTCTCAACAAAGCCTTGGATTTAGTTGAACACACACTTTTAAAGTATTTTATTAAATGGCTGTGTATGGATTTATCAGATGGTGAATGCTTCCGTTTTTGTTCGTTTATGGGTGACTTGGTACCTTTTACTGGAAACTAATAACTGCTTTACAGATTTTAACTGCATGTATGTGTGCAAATAAGGTGCAATCTTGAGTTTGGATTATTTTTAATGATTAAATTTATAAATATTAAACATTTCTGAAATAACCGTTAAGACTTCATAGATTTATTACAAAGAATTACATCTCTAAAAATCTAATAATCGTCACAATGACTAACTCTACGTGTAAGGTAACCTTTAATTATTTAAGTTTTAATTAGTCATTGAATATATACACTGTAAATTTCTCATCAGTGCCAGTATTTTTCATAACTTTCGGAATGTGTTATGTATACTCTCTGCTGTCATTATACTTAACTGCTTTGCTCAGTTGAATTTCACAATCTTTTGAATCCTCCAACTAATAAAACATTTTATAGTAAATGTGTTTTAAAATCCTTTGTCTTCAGATATAATTGTTTTAATTAAAAACACAGACTCTTTGAATGGTGTGTGTGGGAACAGCCTGCTGTGTTTGATGCTCTTTCCACACAATGCTGTTGTCTTTAGCATATCAGATCTCTCTCTGTTTACATGGGACCTAGCAGGACTCTCCAATAGTTCACTGTTGTTTTATAAAGATCCTGGAATGAAGGATGTCTTAGGAGCGCTCTCATAGATGACTAGCTTTCATCAGGCTGTGATGAGTGGTGCTGCTTTTTATGAGAGGTTTTGGGGTTGGAGCAACGGCTAAGGTGAAATCAGGTCGCTCTTAGTGTTTAGATGAGATTTAAAGGACCGTTCCGGGTTCAGTACCAGGTTAGCCATCTTATTACACTTTTAGGATTTATTTCTTTAATCATATGTACAGGTACTGGCATATACTTTTTCCTAAAGTGAATGAATACAAAGGTGCTTTGCAGGATTGTCTTACAGATCATCGACAGTTCACAGTCTTCAGCTACATTTCCCCTGTGTGCTTCATTAAAGCCAGAGGTGGGACCCAGTTAGAGGAGCTAGCATAGACGCTTCCCCTAGGGGGAAAATAGAGGAGGTGGACAGAGTCCTGCCTGGCACAATGGCCCCACTCTGTAACATGCAGACCCACTGGAATTCAAAACAGATGTCCTCCATGTCCTTCTTGAAAGATCTGCTATTAATTTGCCTTTGAGAGTCAACCCCTATGGATACATTAACCTTCCCCCAGGCCAGGCTGACTACATGCTCTGCAGAGCAGCACGCTGAAGAAAGCACCACCTCTTGGGACTAATGCTCACACACAGATGATCTTTTGATGCTCTGTCAACTTTTGCTCAACTTGTGCAGCACATTTACGTTGTCTGAGTGATCACTTTACATTATATCACGTTTCAGTTGCAGACTGATACCAGTGAAATTTTGCAGAAAAAACAGATATGCTACTAAACACGTCTTCCTTTTTTAAAGTCTATTTAGGGTCACTTTTACTACTACTAATTATTATAATTATAAAAATAATAATGATTAAAATGTGTGTGAAAAACAAGTATATCACTGACACTGACATCACAAAAAGTCACTGTAGAAGTCAGTCAATTTTTTTATTTAAATTCCTTACATTCAAATATTCATTTTTTTAAATGACGAATTTACAGCCCTAATAATTTTAAATCCAAACATTTGTGTATATTTTATTCATTTTATTTACGATTGTTTCGTATTGTATCAGTGTGTTAATGAAAAAAAAAATACTAAAACAAATAATAAAAAAAAAACATAAAACTAAATATCAGGATGCAGTGGAAAAATTTGGAGTAGAAACAATTTTCACTCAGAAATTGCTAGTAAATATCACACTTACAGAGAAATGGCAACACATTGAATTGAATGTAAAATGTTAAAGGGGGTCATATGATGCAATTTCAAGTTTTTCTTCCTCTTTGGAGTGTTAAGCTGTTCGTGCATAGATAATATCCCTAAAGTTGCAAAGACTACAGTCTCAAACCCAAAGAGATATTCTTTATAAAAGTTAAGACTCGTCCACGCCCTCCTAAAACGCCTCGTTTAAACGCCCCCCACATGTCTACGTCACTGTGTGGGAAGATTTGCATAACACCTCCCAAATGTATACGCAAAGAAAGAAGGTGTAACTTTGATTCTCGCTGTAGTATTGTTGCTGCCACCGCCATGTCGTGGGAGACACTGTGTGTTTCGTTGTGAAAGCGAAACTACTTTGTTTGGCCTTCCAAAAGAGGACACAACTAGAAATCAGTGGTTAAGTTGTATTTACAACACTGTTCCAGAACAGTTCAACCCAAATATTCAGATGTATGCAGCGCATTTTATGGAGGACTGTTTCCTGAACCTGGGAGAGTAGCCTATATATTTAAAGCGAGTTTTTTGGGCAGTGTAGAGTAGGGCTTGTTGTTTGTCATTTCTCCGATCACAAATGCAGACATGGGTTTATGTTTACGCAGCGCGATACGCAACGCATAAAAATACAGAATAAGTCATTATAATCAGTAATTATGTCCCCACTGGATGCAACAAATGCCTCGTTTGTAATGGGTTTTATTGGTTTTGTCTCGTCGCACCGGGACACGGCATCACAGTATGGTAAGGGGCGTAACATTTCCGTCACACACTCTTGAGGTATTCAGCCAATCACAATGCACTGGATAGCTGGCCAATCAGAGCACACCTCACTTTTCAGACCAATGAGCTTTGTAAAAATCGACGCGTTTCAGAAAGGCGGGGCATAGAGGAGAAACAATAATGTACAGTATGTGGAAAATAATGTGTTTTTTGAACCTTAAACCGCATAAACACATTTCATTACACCAAATACACAAAATAATGTTCTTTTTAGCAACGTCATATGACCCCTTTAAAGTAGAAGGACTGAAATAGTATTTTCTTGTAAAACAAACTTTAGTAATATTTTATTTATACTTAGAAAAAAAAATTAGTGTGCTGAAGAAGTGCCTGTTTGGGTTGACATGCGTTCATGTTTTAAATATGTGACCCCTCTAATAAAGGCTTTTTAATACAGAAATATGAGTTCCTGGATGTGGAAGTATGTTTTCATTTCAAAAGGAAGCAGTCACTAATATATTTATGTATCAGTGTGTATTGTATTGTGAGGTCGTAGGCAACCAGCCTTATTGCAGATTTAGTTTCGTGGTTACTAGAAGACTTTACAAGTTTCAAAACCATATGTGTAATCACTGGGGAGTTTGAAGGGTTTTTTTCTCTCCATAATGCAGCCGTAGGGGTGAGTTTGTGTTACCTTTCAAGATCCAACTCTGACATGTCTCTTATGAGTGCAGACCCTCAATTGTGCTTCTTGCATCTTAGCAACCAAGGCCTGTTCTCACAAACACCATCCAGAAGCACTCAGGGCTTCCCTGTGAGAGGACCCCTGCTTTTCATCTCTTAACCACCTCAACTGAATGTGCGATCTTACCATTAGAGGTTCAAATTGAGATAATTAAGGCACAACTGCCCTTGGTGATGGGAGTCTTTACTTCACTCCCTCTTCTTCACTCCCACCTTGCATTGTTTTTCCTGTTGTCAAGGTAGACCTGAGGGTAATCAAGCTCCGATGTGTGAGGGTGTCTGCCTGCAACTCTCTTAAACAGTTGCTTCAGTCTATGGCTTGTATTAGGTGTCTTATTTTTAGGAACCACATTTTGAGGCACTTCATAAACATTTCACTCTTCAACTATAAGCTGTGATGGTTTATTTATCATATTTTGTTTAACTTTTTTTTTTTTCTATTGCATTAATGAAATAGTTCACCCAAAAATGAAAATTCGATGAAAATGTACTCTCCCTCAGGCCATCCAAGAAGTAGATGAGTTTGTTTTATCTTCGAAACAGATTTGGACCAAATTTAGCATCATTTGATCCTCTGCAGTGAATGGGTGCCATCA